ACTGGAATTGAACAAAATTCTCTCGGGCTGCTGAAGTCTGCTGCTTCATTTATTTTAGACTCAGGCTTCTTTTTGTTGCTGATTTGGAAACAGTGAAAGGCCACCAGTAAACAATACCTCACATAGGAATAGCATTCAGGAGGCCTCAGAGCCTTCCATGTTTTTGAAAATTTTTATCTTTAAAATGAGAATACGAGGTAATTGCTTTTATGCAAATTTCAGAGACAACGTGAGCGAGCTCCCTGGCAGGCAGAAGCTGGATGTCCTGGTTTCCTGACTGCTCCCACAAATGCCCTCTGTACCCTGCTGGGTTCCACCTGGCCACACTCCAGTGCCTCTCCCGGAGGAAGGCATGCCAAATTCCTGACACATGGCGTTTGAAAATACCATGGAACGTTTCCACTCGTGGATTTCACTATGTTCTCCAGTGAGTATTTTAGCAAGCTAAAAATGTGACTCCTCAGTCATGAGAACACCAAATCCATACGATTCGAAAACAGCAATAATGCTGGAACTTTGATCTAATTATCAGCAAGTCCTCTTCCAGGAGATTAAATGTCTTAGAATATTTTATAATTTGCTTAGCGGGTATTTATCCTTTAGTGAAAACCAGTGGTCTTCAAAGAGAGCAGCAAAAGATGCTGACAAGTCATTTAAATGGCTGAGTGGTTACTCTTGCTGGCCTAATAAAAGTCCATTTCTAGGAAGATGAAACCTGAGCTTCTTATAAATCATCAATTATCCCAGATAATGGTAACAATATAGATATTTATACTCTGGGTTTTGATTTCCATGCCTTGTGTTTCAACTTCACATCAGGAAGGTTTTTAAAAATTTATTTATTTATTTATTTTGAGACGGAGTTTGTTTTTTTTTTTTTTTTTGAGATGAAGTCTCACTCTTGTTGCCCAGGCTGGAGTGCAATGGTGCCATCTTGGCTCCCTGCAACCTCTGTCTCCCGGGTTCAAGCGATTCTCCTGCCTCAGCCTCCCAAGTAGCTGGGATTACAGGCATGTGCCACTACACCTGGCTAATTTTGTACTTTTAGTAGAGATGCGGTTTCACCATGTTGGTCAGGCTGGTCTTGAACTCCTGACCTCAGATGCTCCACCCGCCTCAGCCTCCCAAAGTGCTGGGATTACAGGCGTGAGCCACCGCACTCGGCCTGGCAGTTTTAAATGAATGAATTCATCTGTAAGCTTTTGAATGGAAAAATCAAAGTAGAAAGAAGCATATTGTCTTACATCATTTTACAAATCAAAACATACTTAAATTGTCTTTCTTGTGTTAAGAACAAACCCCCAGTGCCTGATCAGCTACTTTGTTTCCATGAGGGAGAAATACAGTTATGCAGCTGATGTCAGGGAAGGTGGAGAATTTCCTCAGCCACCCATGAAGAAAGATAAGGGGGCCCTTATCCACTGGCTGTCTAATCTTAGAAAGATCTCATGGAGATATGGTGGACATAGAGCACAATCCTCTATCCCTGAAGAACATTTTCCAAAGCACAGATGTTTTCTCTTAATTGTGAATGCTGGCTGACTTGTCCATATCCTTTCTCAGGGCTCAGCAGATGGTACGATTTGGGACTGACTTGTTCCCTATAACGTGAGGCTGATGTTCTTTGCTACGTGGAAAACACATCTTTGGTGAGACAGAAATGAATCGATATTACACAAAAATGTTTCCATTTCTGGAATTTCCCTGAGTTAAAAATATCTTTCTGGCTTTGGGTATACATAAGTGACCGTGAGGACGCTTAGTAAAAGAGAAAACAGATTTTCAAGACTTTGTGGTGATGGTGATTATATGGGATTATAAGTAAAGATTTTCCTGTTGTATCATTTTGGAAACAAAAAGTTGACTCATTTTCTGGTTAATGCTTCAATATTTTCATTAGGGAGTTTCTATAAAGTCTTTATCTGAATCACAGAAAGTACAATTATTTCAGAGGTAAGATAAAATTTTATCTGTCATAAACAGCACTGCGTACTAAAACCTGCTGTGAGTTTAACAAATCACCTAGAAGTCCAATGCTCAAGAATGCAATATATCAAGTAAAACACTGAAAAGTTCAACTATAATGCAAGTGTGGAAGTGCAAGATAATGCAAGTGTGGAAGTGCAAGATTGACTAGAACTTTTAAATATTATCATTTCTATTAACATGCTAATTAAATTCATTTTATTGGAGTATTTTAAGTTCCTAGCAATTGAATAGCACTTTTTACTACAAATATTTCATCATTTGGATAAACATATTCTTTTATTTACCATTTGTCAGGTTTTGTATGCTAAACTGCAACTGCTTATATATGCTGATCAAGTATCTCAAGGATAAATTAAAACTCTTAGTAAAAATCCAACTGACTGGTACAGACCACAAAAAGTACTATTTTAAGCCTTTGGGGGCTTAAAAATTGTGTGTGTCTATGTTTATTTACATGGTGGGAGAAAAAGAACTTTCCAGGTAATTGTGAATGGGACACTGTTATATAAGAGTTAAAAAAGCACTATTTCTGTACAATTGAAGTTCCTAACTCATGCTTTACTTTTTTTTTTTTTTTTTTAGGCTTTTGCAATTTTTATTGTGGAGATGTATTTATACTGTTAGTTTCAGGATATCTCAGGCAGAGTTTTGCTTGTTGACCAGGCTGGAGTGCAGTGGTGCAATCTCGGCTCACTGCAACCTCTGCCTCCCAGGTTCCAGCGATTCTCCTGTCCAAGTAGCTGGGATTACAGGTGCCCGCTACCACATCTGGCTAATTTTGTGTATTTTTAGTAGCAATGGGGTTTTACCACATTGGCCAGGCTGGTCTCGAACTCCTCACCTCAAGTGATCCTCCCACCTCGGCCTCCCAAAGTTCTGGGCTTACAGGTGTGAGCCACTGCACCCACCCCATGCTTTAATCTTAAACTAATTTTGAGTTGTACATGAAAGGCCTAATAATCAGAAAAAGACTATTTTTTAACTTACCTGCTCAAATATTTTGAACCTTCGAATCTGGAAAATAATGTTGAAGTTTGAAACTGATGCCGTGCCAACTCTGGGGAGCACAGTACTGAACTGCTGCTTCCTTGTCTTGGTGAATGCACATCGAGTGCCTTGTCGTCCTCTGAACCCACCACCACTAGGGACTGCTATGGGGGAGGAGCTCACTGCACCTCAGAAGTCAATGTTCAAAGTCACTGTGAGGACCTGGAAGTGAAGTTCCACAAGAGACACAAAGCTGAGGCACAAGATGCCCCCAAGGTGGGAGTCATGTTGAAAACTTGGAAAAATGTCTTTGTACAAAATCTACGCAGATCTTTAGAGAACAGGCCAGACCTGTGCTGACTTAGGTACTGCCTAAAATGTCACTATATGAGGAACCATTTCAGTAGCATACTACACACGCTTCTCTGAGCCAAGGATGTTCCTAGCATTGCCTTTAGTCTTATCTTTAAGTGAAAATAAGGTTTTATACATATTCCGGCTGGGACACCTCGGGCACATGTGACCTCGGGAAATTCCTTAACTTCTCTTCCCTTAATTTCCTTATCTATAAAATGGTGAAGATTATGGCAGGAATTAAATGAGTTAATGTGCCTGGCACATAATACAAACTCTGTTAGCTGTCCATTAGTATTTTCATCCACTTATCATATCCACTCATAATTTTTGCAGAGAAACCATCAGCACAAAATAAAATCATTTACAACCCAATTTTTTTTCAAAATATGAAGAGACACCATTTTATAAAAAGGTTCATAGGACTCCCCAAATTAATATAAACTTGGCGCAGATTTATCTACCCTAAGCACATGGAGATTCTTCCCAGCTCCCACACTCCTTGCCACCCTAAATGCTCAAGGGGAGTCCTATTGTATTAGAAATGAACTTGCTAATCACGACTTTGGACCTGATCCTTCCAAGGCATGCTTTTCAGGCACAGGACTGGTAAGGAGATGGGTCCCCTCCCGAAAATGCTGAGAAATGGTAGCAAACAGATTTCCCTTCTTCGATCTACTCCTCACTGCCTTCCCTCTGTAGGAGATGAAGCATTGCTCCCCGCATGCCATGCACATTTGATTGCTAGCTTGCTGGCACAACCCTATGATCCAGTGTGTCCAGATAGATCCAGATTTCTCCCTCCGTACGTTTTCTCTCTCTGGTTGGTCCTGTCTATAGCTAGAGATGAGCAAGAAGCATCCATCGGCTGCTCAGGCCCTTCATTTCCCATACCTCTGCTGAGTGAGATCTGGAGAAAAGATCTCCAGTCAGTAGCTGACACCCCCCATCACATTCTCAGCCTTCACATGTGAGGAAAACAGCTAATCAAGGAACGCTACTGAATTCCATTTATAAGCCACTTAGCAAGTTATGAAGCTGGGTCATTTCTGTGGTCACTGTGTTAATGTTACAATATACACTGATCACCTACTGGCTCTAGGAAGTGAGAATGATACTTTCAGTTCAAATCTTAGTGTCAGGATTTAATATCAAACAGGAAGAAACTCTACACCTTTGCTGCTTGTCTTAGCCAAACAAATGAGGGTGTCAGAGAAACTGACCACCCCTTGTAGGCTGAAATGGGTTAGAGCAGATCTCAACTTCTGGAATTTTTAGTTGTGGAACCTTTCCAGTAAACTATTATTTTAACATCAATACTCTGGAAGGCAGGCAAATTTAAGACAAGAGAGTACACTAAATCATTGACAGAGTGGCTCGCACCTGTAATCCCAACACTTTGGGAGGCCGAGGCAGGCAGATCACTTGAGGTCAGGAGTCCAAGACCAGCCTGGGCAACATGGTGAAACCCCATCTCGACTAATAATACAAAAATTAGCCGGGTGTGGTGGTGCATGCCTGTAATCCCAGCTACTTAGGAGGCAGAGGCAGGAGAATCGCTTGAACCTGGGAGGCAGAGGTTGCAGTGAGCCAAAATTGTGCCACTACACTCTAGCCCAGACGACAGAGCGAGACTCAAAAAAAAAAAAAAAAAAAAATCATAGACACAGTGACAATGGAAATATTTATTGCTGCTGGTTGGGTCTGTCATTTCCTAGAGGACACAGCTGGCCAGCAGATTTTCATTTCTTTTTTACAAAATAAGCAAATGCCTACTTTATTATTTACACACAGAAAATTATATAGAAACACCACACAAACTGCTTGAAATGCAAATATTTTTTGGTTTACTCATCAAAGTAAAAAATAACAAAAACCTTATCAGTTAAATAAAAAAGTGACATTCTTTATCAAACCTTCTTAAACACTGAAATGCATTCCTTTTTGTGCTCATGTTCTTTAGCAACATCATTTCTCCCCTTTTGCCCCTCATTCCCCTAAATTGTTTCAATGAGTTCATCTGTAAAATGAAGATTGTCATCTTTCTTAATGCTACTTTTTTATTATCTCAGTATCAAGACCAATCTAGATTTTTCTGTCTCTTACATATGAAATGGATGTAAAAAATGAAAAATTCACCAGCACATTTTAAGATAACATAAAAGAAGCCCTAAGCAAGCACTTCAAGGCAATGACACACCATTACATTTCTGAAAAATTTAAATACCACTGGTACTTAAAAGTAGAACTCAATTCCAGAAGCATATTCTTATATTGGACATTATTCATAATAGATCATATACTTCATTTCCACAGTACTGATTTCAGATAAGCCATTTTTTTGTTTGTTTGTTTTTTGTTGAGGATTGACTACCTCAGACTTAAATCTTGAATGTCAATGACTCAATCTTTAACAAAACAGTCAGCTGTAAGCTGTAGACATGAAAATTGAATTGTTTCAAAAGGAGCAATGATAGCAAGAGAAAGTTCTTGGCATTTTAAGAAAAGTACGTATACATAGCAAGAATGAAAGTAAATCAAAATACATAGCTTTGTACATGTTAGAAATATCCAATGTGCCACCAACACAACAATTGCCCTATAAAAAAGTCCTCAGGTCTGGAGCTATCTGTATTTTTCTTTGTGTAACTACATTTGCATTACCCAACCACATATCTCTCCCATGGTCTGTTACCCGTTTGGAAGCTTTTAACCAGAATTTTTGGCAATATGCTTTTCTTCAAATAAAACAAGCCTTCAAATAAATCATTATGTCTGACAACTGAATTGGGCAAAGTCTTTCCGAAATATGTGTAATCTTTAGAAAATTCTTCTTTTTTCCTTCATAAATCAGCAGTGCTCCATCTTCAAATCAATCACGATCAGTCATAATCTTAACTCATGAGCTCATATGTTCTCTTCATCCAACATTTTGTTGATACCATCACACAGTTTTTGTAAGTGGGGTTTAAAATTCCCAAAAGGATTATACAAGGCAGCCAAAAAGTCACAATCTGAAAAATGATCAAAGACATTATTAACCCGTCCATGTGACTTGGCAGTGAGGTGACGCTGAATGATTTGGTGCAGCATCTCTCTGCATTCATTTAACAGCCTGGATAACACATTCCGGTCAAAGGTATAATCCACCTGGTGGAAACTGACCACGGTCATAGCAAGTTGATGAACTTTCTTCTTAAATTTCTCCATCAGTGCTAGCTCATCTTGATTAAACTGATTATTCCTGTAAAGAATGGCCAGCTTGATGACCGTCTTGATAAGGTTCTTGATGATCTTCTCTGCCTCCTTCTTGTTTTGGGTGTACTCCCTGGTCACTCTGTAGAGCTCATCCAGCACCTCACTACTCGTGTCATCTATTAAGGTGGTGGCGATGGATTTGGACACCATTTTACCCAAGATCTTCTTTTGTGCCTGAACGGCCAGGTTTTTGGAATTAAAGACATCTGTGGCCACTAAAAAAATAAGAGAGAGGAAAAGAATTAACAATTTGTAGATATCAGCAAGCGAAGCGAACTAAAAACAGGTATTAGGGAGCACTTTTTTTCCTCATTTTCCCACCATTTGTGGTTTGTCTTCCATCTACTGACATTAGTCTCTGTTCAGAAAAGAATTTTTGGCTGGGTGGAGTGGCTCACGCCTGTAATCCCAACACTTTGGGAGGCCGAGGTGGGCGGACCACTTGAGATCGGGAGTTTGAGACCAGCCTGGCCAACATGGGCATGGTGGCAGAAGCCTATAATCCCAGCTACTCAGGAAGCTGAGGCAGAAGAATTGCTTGAACCCAGGAGGTGGAGGTTGCAGTGAGCTGAGATTGCTCTACTGCACTCCAGTCTGGGTGACACAGCAAGACTCTGTCTCAAAACAAACAAAAAATACAAAATCAGCTCTACACCTGTCATCTGGGCAACAGCAACCAGAAGCGATTTAAAAGAAATTCATTTAAATGGAAGAAGAACAAATGGCAAAGCCATAATACTGAGTAAAATGGCAGATTAAGCAAATCAAAAGGAGAGCCTTGTTTTATAATCCAGTTGCAAAAAGTCAAATTTCCCAAGACATTGGCCAGTGCCTACCAATTTGGCTGTCCTAAGTACCTTGAATTTCAACCTCCAAAAGTCGAGTGTTGGAAAGAAGTGCTCCTTGGAGAGCTCATTGTCACTTGCTATTTCTGATGAATGGCCATTGTTTGCTTTACATTTTTATACATTTTGGAGAAATGACCTTTTTCATGAGCTAATGAAATGTGCTACATGAAAAATATACTTTGAAAAAGCTGTTGCTTAGAGTTTACTTTTGGAATTATAACTTCTGACAGATGTTTACAATATACATAATAATGGCTGTACATATTAAATATTAAAGAGACACTATATGTAATCTTCCTAGCTTAGAGCTGGTCAAGTGAAAATGCTCAATAAATGTTTATTCTCCAAACCAAGTTTACTTCTTTCTACCACAATTTTCCCCACTCCATGCAGGTAGCAATCTTTTTTTTTTTTTTTTGAGATGGAGTTTCACTCTTTTTGCCCAGGCTGGAGTGCAATGGCATGATCTTGGCTCACTGCAACCTCCACCTACCCGGTTCAAGTGATTCTCACACCTCGGTCTCCAGAGTAGCTGGAATTACAGGCGCCCTCCACCATGCCCGACTAATTTTGTATTTTCAGTAGAGACGGGATTTCACCATGTTGGCCAGGCTGGTCTCTAACTCCTGACCTCAGGTGATCTGCCCACCTCGGCCTCCCAAAGTCAGGCATGAGCCACTGCACCTGGCCCATGTGGCAATCTTTAAACTACTCCTCTACAACTGTGCTTTCTCCTGCTTCTCCTAAGGCTTAAGAACTGCAGTTCTTTGGGTGTCTACTCCATCTCTGAGTCGAGTGGCAACTGTTCTCTCCATATATGCCGGTGTTTAAGCCTAGGCCTGGGTGTCGGAAAGCAATCATTTGGTAATGAAAGATTACAAAGTTTAAAAATACAGATACATACAAATGAGTCAAGGCATCAATGATTATATAAGATTATTTCTAGTTTGGATGGGCTAGCATCATTAGGAAGCAAAAAGGCAGCTGCTTCAAAATCCATACTGGGAGGACATATAAGAAGAGTGACCCCCTTAATCCAGAACTGCCATGTTGGATTTAAAATTGGGGAAAGGTGGGGTGTGGTGGTTCACACCTGCAATCCCAGGACTTTGGTAGACCAAGGTAGTGAGAGGATCGCTTGAGCCCAGGAGTTTGACACCAGCCTCAGCAACACAGTGAAACCCCATCGCAACAAAAAGCTACAAATAAAAAAAAAAATTAGCCAGGTGTGGTGGCGTGCACCTGTAGTCCAGTTACTAGGGAGGTGGAGGTGGGAGAATCATCTGAGCCTGGGAAGTTGAGGCTGCAGTGAGCCTTGACTGTACCACTGCACTCCAGGCTGGGCAACAGAGTGAGACCCTGTCTCAGAAAAAAATTAAATTAAAATTCAGTAAAATTGAGGAGAAGAAGAACCAAATCAGACTTGAAATTTGGACCAAAGTAGTTCGTGGTATATAGTAGAGGTAGCTGCAAAATGGTTCCTTATGACCCGAACATCAACTAGAAATACACAGCGCCATCCACAGTGCCATCCACTGAAAGAATGTCTTCACTGATTGAGAAAGGGTCCCCTCACAAATGTCGAAATTTACACTTCTGAAACATGAACTGAAACTGCAGAAGAACTAAAATATATTTTGAAAAAGAGAAGGAAAGTAAAAATGTGTGAGAAACAGCCAACTTTATGTAGAAGTTTCCATCATTTAATGTTTTATGTTTTTATCATTTAAGCAGAAGTCTGTTTCTATTTCTATTCTTCAATTATTTGCAAAAGAGTATAAAGATTAATTCACACTAAAGAATTTATGTCAAAAGAAATGGCACCCACGTCGCTAACAGTACCACGTTAAAACCAGGGACCATATTTCATCTCAGAACTCCTGATATAGACCTTGAAAAAAATCAATAAACTTGATTTATATAGGGATCCCCAACCATTTTCAGCTACACAGCAAATAAGTAGGATTTCAGTAATATATTTCATATAAAGGTGAAATGTTATTGTGTTTTTAATGTTTTAGAACATGGCACAGTCTACAAATATCTTACCTGGGATTTACTACAAGTCTATCAGTTGGACATACTTTATGTTGTGAAATATTGAAACCAGAGGGAGAGATATTCATAAGATTTCTCCTTTATCCAAGGCTGGACTTTCACGTTTGCACCTCTTCTCAGCTACTTTTCTGATTAAATCTCAATATTCCATTTAACTTCAAACATGGAAAACAAAAACTCTATGACACAGCACTTCAACTTCCTGCAAGACAGTGTGTAAAAGGCAAATCTACTGCCAACTAAGCAAGATCATTCCCCGTTTACTGGTAATCAAGTATGAATCAAGATAGAGAAGTTGATCTCTGAGGCTTTCATATTTGTCCTAGAGGAACTTCAAACCCCCTTCCAGAAACAGCAGCTGTGTCACACTTTCCTTTTATTCTTTGGGTTATTCCAGTAAAGTTGTCTTTTTAAATGAGGTTGAAGCTCTTTGTCCCCCTCCACCATCTGAAGCTCTTTCTCCCCCTCCACCAAGAAGACATGCATGAGTAGATTTATTTTCCAGCATTAGAGAAAGCTTTTTTGAGCCAATGGGGGCTTGTGGCTGAGAGTCTCTGGCCAGGGATGTGTGGTCTGTGCTCATGAAGTATGTTTCTTTTTCTTGCAAATTAACTGCTGTTAGTCATTCCTGTTCAGGCTCATTTGTCAGTTCCACATGCTCTACCAGATCCCTTAAAAGTCTGGTGTATCTCAGAGCTAGTCCTAGACCAAGTTTTTCTCCTTCAGTCTATCCTCACCCCTGTGTGATCTCATCCACTCCCACAGCTTCAGATACCACCCAGGTGCCAGTGACTCCCACAGCTATAACTCAGCTCTGACCTCTTTTCTGGACTCATTTTGTAAATACATTCGAGATTTTTCTTTTCCTTGGCTATTTTGCAGGCATCTCAAATGTACCATATGCAAAACTGATCTTTGATTCTCTCCCGCCTCCCTACTAAGTGCTCCTCTTTCGCTCTTTATGATCTCAATAAACAGCATCCCCTCCAACCTTTTGTTCAATCAAATCAGAGACTTAGGGATCATCCACCATACCATTCTCTCCCTTACCCAGTCCATTATTAAGTTCTTTCCATTCCACCTTCCTCCCACATTTCTCTGAATTCTATCCATTTCCCTCCATTTCCATGAACAGCAGCCTAGTCCAAACTCCTTTTCATCTATTTTCACATATCAGCCAGTTTCAAGAAATGAAATTTGCAAATGGGGCCAAGCTCAGTGGCTCATGCCTGTAATCCCAGCACTTTAGGAGGATAAGGTGGGAGGATCACTTGAGCCCAGGAGTTTGAGACCAGCTTGGGCAACATAGCAAGACCTTGTGTCTACAAAAAAAAAACTTTTAAAAAATTAGCTGGGCATGTAGTCCTATGTACTCAGGAGACTGAGGTGGGAGGACTGCTTAAGCCCAGGAGTTCAAGGCTACACAGCGGCAGTGAACTATAATCACACCACTGTACTCCAACCTGGGCGACACAGCAAGACCCTGTCTCAAAAAAGAAAAGGAAAAAAAAAGATGCTTCACTTAAGTTCTTTGCTAACTATCGCACCTCCTTGTTCCTTAAATCCTCATCATTTGCCTACATTTTTATTGCCTGCTTCTCCCTACTGGGATTTAAACTCTGAGAGCAAAAATTCTGTGTATCATGTTCACTGTGTCATCTTGCAGGCCTAGAAAGTGGCTGGTCCAGAAGCAGAAATCAATTTCCCCTATCTCGTCCACAATATAGTTAAATACTTCTCTATGAAAACATGTTGGCCTGTAAAACGAGAGTTGTAAATACATTAGTGGGTGTTTTTATTTGTTGTATTAAAAGGTAGAGAAACAGGTATTTGTTTTACCTCATTAAACATGTGGTTTTTCTTCCCTCTAAGTGCACTCCAGAGTATGATTTCTCTTACTGATCAACCAATTCTTTTAAAGAGGAGAGATTTGTTGTGCACAATGGGAAAACATCCAAGGACAATAATGCAAATATTTAGAGTAAAAGCAAGGTGTAGTTCTGACTTGAACTGTAGTAGGAGATTAAACACAGGCCCACCTCTGCTTCTGGCTGAATCTATGTTTAAACATGTGCCAGAGGGATAGACCTAATGCATGTCCTGGGAAGCAACTAAGATGTAAACAGGAGATGTTCCCGAAGGAGAAAGTGCTGAAAATATTCATTCGGTTTTTTGCCTCTTAAGATGAATTCACTTGTGTTTGGAAACAGACATGTAAATTGTTCATTAATGAAGAATAATGCTGTATTTAAAAAAAAAACAACATACAAAGCGTTACCACCACATTAAAACTGTTTAAGACTGTTTTC